TTTGTGCCTCCAAAAGGCTGATCTAGATAAGAGATGGTATTTATTTTTTAAGGTTGTGGTACCAAAGTACCGTAAGCTGGATCACTTAAAAAAAAAAAAAAAACAACCACCTCAGTTCTGAAGGCTACACTGCAGTATCAAAATGTTAACAGAATTATGCTCTCTCCAACTTCTCTAGAGAAAAATCCTTCTGGGTCTCTGCCAGCTCCTTCTGGTTTCCAGCAACCTGCTCCTCCTTGGCCTGCAGATGCACTCCTCTACTGTCATACGGTGTTGGCCTCTTGTTTTGGGTCTCTTCTCCAGTTCTTAGGACACACTTCAATTCAGAAGGACACTTTAGAGACAGATTTCTGCTCTGTAAAATACCACTTCTAGTACTCAGATTTATTTTGGCTTGATATCCCTTGAATAACCCCAGGGTGCAAATATGAATCAGGCTTATTGCGAGGCCCTACTTGAATTCCAGCTTCATCTTCTTGATGGGACAATGGTATAGTGGTTCAGACTTCTTAATTTTGTAGCAATTTCCTCCCAGTTAAAAAAAAAAATGCCCCAAGAATAAAGCAGTGCTGGCGGGTCCATTCTCTGCTAGTAGAAACTGAATAACCTCTACCTCACCCTGACTCACAGCACCTGCCCTTGGTGCACTCAGAACCAGTCATGTCGTCCTCTGAGCTGACCTCTGAGCTCCCATCCTAGCTCTTTGGTACTTGAGACCTTTGTTTTTGCCTGAAACCCACTGACAAAGTACAGTTTTCAAGCCATGAAAGTACTGTTTGTAAACAGGTTTCTCTGACAACCAGAAACTGCCTTATCTGCCTCTTTGTTGGCATATGAGTATTCAGAAATGTACCTGATTAGTGTCCATCTTTTAAAAATTTATTTTGTTTAAGGAATACAACTCCATGCATTTAATATATACAGATTTGGGAATATGCTGCTCTCCCCCCCCACCCCCGCCACCTCCCACCACCTCCATGACCTGATGGCTCCTCAGATGTATCTAGTTTAAAACATTTGTGTTCTTCATCTGTGAATATTTTTAACAATTTGGCTCAGACATAAGGTAAAGATATGACAAAAACCTATGAAAAAGCCAAAACCAGTGAAGGATTAATGGCTTTATTTAAAAGATATTTTCTCAAACTCTGGGACAAAATGGGTACAGCATTCTGCTATAAAATTTCACTCAGATGATGGTCTGAATGTTTCAAAACAGCTAGCACTTGGGGCACCAGCATTGTGGCACAGCAGGTTAAGTCACAGCTTGCAATACAGCATCCCTTATTGGTGTGGGTTCAAGTCCTAGCTGCTTCACTTCCAATCCAGCTTCCTGCTAATACACCTGGGAAAGCAGATGGCCCAAGTGCTTGGGCCCTTGCCAACCATGCAGCAGATTGGGATGGAGTTCCTGGCTCCTGGCCCAGCCCTGGCTGTCGCAGGCATCTGGGGAGCAAATCAGCAGATGAACAGCTCTCTCTCCAGCTCTGTCATTCTGTCAAATACATCAATCTTTAAAAAGAAATGGCTGGCACTTGACTATGTTTCTCTGAAAAAGCTAGTATAAATATACAGGTATAATCAAGTTAAACACATTTGTTAAAGCTATACACTAGGTCCTTTGTGCTATGCACTGGGGATAAAAATATAAAGTGACACAGTCCTTAGAGTTCAGGATAGAGGGCTAGTCCAGGGTGAGGAGGGATGAAGGGACAAGGATAATAATCTTTGAATCATACCTGAACAGACCTTTCAGGTAGAAAAATGTATGGTGAAACTTTTAGAAACAGGGAAGAACAACAGTCTAAGTGATGAAGAACAAGTCTAAGTGGATTGTGTCACATCTACTGACGGCTGAAGAGCAGCCTGGGAAACACCAGGTCTAGGTGAAGAGTGTGACAGCAAGGGGACTGGAAAGGAGGGAGAACTATAAGGAGTGTTTTTAAACAAGGGCTCAACAGGAACTGATGACAGGGAGAGGACTAGCAAAAAGTCTCATTTGTTTTGGATAAACTATGTTGGCTAGGAATACCATTAAACTACAACTGGGAAAGAGAAGTATGCTTTTATCAGGGCAAGACTGGCGATAAAAATTTTGTTCAGCTGGATATCTACAGGATATAACCATCCATATTAGCTTCTTGCCTGATGATATATATCCACCAACATTAGGTCTCTGAAGGTATAGACACAAGAAGATAATCTGTTTCTTATTTCAATTTTATGAAGACATTTCCACTGAACTAAGGGCACAGTGGTATTCCCAGCGTACACATTTCCCATTTATCAGGTAAACATTTTCAAAAAAATCTCGTAAGCAATTTAAACAATATAGTGAGATGGGTTCCCAACAGAGCACATACAGAACCACTTATTTGGAAATTATTAAACAAACACAGACAACCCTTACTGAGTCATCCGAGCCTACAAGTAAGCTCATGTATATTTTGTTTGTTAAGATGTTATGTTAGTGTGAAAAGTACTAAGGAATAGAGGGGAGTTTTAGAAACACAATCACTTACCCATAAGCAGGAAATTCATACCTACTATGTGAGGGAAACATTATTTTAAGGATTATAATCAAAAGAAAAAGTGCCATTAAATTACAAAGGAAGATGGATCTTGCATTTATCTAACCACTCACTAGTCTACCTGCACAGAGCTTGCTCAGATACAACAGTTTCTATGGTAGTAAGGCTGCTTAAATGAGACTAAGGTGCTCCTAAGGCAAGTAGTCCCTGTGAAAAGAAAACGTAGAAATAGCAGAGTGTATTTAATTTCTTCCTGCTGTGGTAACAGCTGCAGATACATTCCCTTTCTCTGCTTATTTCCTTGTCTTTTCTTGAAGCTTCAGAAGTCATTCACTGAAATAAATTAGTTGATCTGTTTGTATTGTCAGAAAAGCAACCAGAAGATTTTACAGAATGATCTCATTCATTAACAACTTGAAGTTCTGAAATGTTGATTACCATTTTCATTGAAAATGTTCAGGACTTAGAGCATCAAGATCCACTAAAACAAAGCAGGTATTCTATTAAGTAGACAGGATCTGTAAATTAGCAGCTGTAGGCTTCATTCTGTTGTACTCATTTTGGAAATGGACATGTTATGTTTCCATAATCCTTAAAGGATCACAAATCTTTCATAAAGAGGAACTACTATGCAAATAATTTTACATTACTATAAACTACAAAGTCTAGTATCCATTCCATTTAGTATTCAAGTCTACAGAAAAAAATCAAATGACAACTGCTTTATTATTAAAAGTTACTGAATTCCATAAAGCACACAAAGTAATCTATATTCAACTAACAAAAGTTTGTTACATGTATTTAAAAATATAACAGATTTGTCTGTCTTAACATTTATATTCTATTTAAAAAGTAATAGCTTTACATATTTTGCAACTTGAATTTATAAAATACATACATTCACCCTATTTCAAATTCTCAAGCACAATCTTTATTTCTGAATTGTAAGAGAAAAAAATGGTACCAACTGAAATGAAAAATTCATTTTGACCTGAACATGTACTTAATCCTTGGCTACCATATAATTAACCTAACAATTCATTAAAATAATTTTTTTACCTCAAACCTGACAATTTTAATTTACATAAGCAATTTGTGGTTAACTACGAAAAGACACATTTTCATACCTGACAAAATCTACTGAGTTCCTTAACAGTCCTATTTCAAGCTTTTAGAAGACGCAAGTCTATTCAATTTTTCCATATGCCCTGAAATCTGACAAGTTATGTCACAATTAACTCAAAGCCTAGTATGTTTTGAAAACATGATTTTGACTTTGAGAAAACAGTTTAGAATTATTATGGGATTAATCTTTTGTGAAAATCAGATAGGGGATGTGCCAAGAAACAGAGCAAGAACTGGATCCTGTTTTCCAGTGAACTCTTTCACTCAACATGTAAAACCAGAGTTCTTGCAACAGCTTCTATTCAGGAGTTCTTTCCATACATTCAAAATAGTTTCAGATCCTATTTTATCAACAAAACATTTTTCAATATAAAAAAAAGTCATAGCATTCTGATAACTCATTACCAAATACAAGTCTCAGTGCTAACATTTGAGAATTAAAATTACAATTAACATCTTACCCAGGGTATCACAGTCAAAACCACACTTTCAATTTTCAGGATAGGGCTGGGCTTGAAGTACACATTTAAGAGCCCACATGTTTGTAATGATGATAATGTATATAATCCTACGCTTAAACTAATGCAAAATGTATGTTGAGAAAGCAAGACTCTTTACAAGTAATTTAAGAAAAATAATTCCACAACTCAAAATGACTTAAAAATTTTAAATGGAAAAAAAATTTAATTCATTTGAGCAATAATCAGGCTTTGGGAGAGTTCCCACTCAAAAGTCAATACATTTCTCTTATTAGTTTTTTAGAAGTAAATTACAACTAACAGCTCATTAATGAAGGAGTCAATTATTCACAAAATTAACAATCTACTGATGAGGGGAATATCAGGAATTCAATGTATTTTATTTGTAGGACAGTCTTTTTTAGTTTTTTAAAACTTTCTGATGTAATTTTAATAATCTTCCTTCTCTGGATTCCTCAACTTAAAAAAAAAAAGCACAACTTAGAAGTCAGAAAAGGAAAACGCTGAAGACTGATCCACATTCAGAGATCTGTGGGAAGAGATAGGAAGGAAGGAGAAAGAGCACAGTGACTGAACAAATCAGAAAAGGATTGGGACTAGTTGCTGCAGACTAAAAGACGCCTTTTCCACAGGCCACAAACATGCAAAGGCAGTAAAGGCACTGACATACCAAATAGTGTACTACCTATTTTGATAACAAAAAGTAATATATGGTTAGTTAAGCCTTCATTTTTTCTAAAAGCCAACTTACAAACACAATTATATATAAATATAAACCATAGCCATTCAAGCTAAAGTATGCACAAAAAATGAATAAAAGTGAATCTGAGAAATATAAGCAGCAGTAACCATAAAGGCTTAGAACTAGTGACACTGAATTCTTTATTTAAAAAAATTTTGAACACATAGTACCTCCTCTTCTCTTCTATTTTTAGGAAGAAGTTTTAACAAGTTTTAAATATCTCAATTCTCAGAAACAATAGACTTTTTAAAAAATAAGACTTGATTACTAGAAACAATATGTAGTTACACACCATTTTCATTATCACTACTCATTTCCATTATTTGTCAATTCATCTTCGATGCAATCTGGGGACAATTAACAGCCACTAGATAACTGTTTTAGAATCTGAAGAATTACCCACCACAGGAATCTAATGATATATATTTGCATATATTTAAAATTTCAGAAGGGTGAGTGTAATAAACTACTCTAGTTACTTTATACCAAATATTTATATACCCAATCAAAACAACAAGGATTCAGATCTTTCTCCAATTGTGTTGTTGACTATATAAAAGCTATTTGTAGCACTTTCTTCTGGGGAATTAAAAATGTTTTATTTCCCTGCGGGCTAAAAGGAAGAATTACATATTACAAGTAAATCCAGTAAAAGTGAATATTATTAACTCCTTAAGATTGAGAATGGCCATAAAATATATTTTTAAAAATTTTCCTTAAAAAACTGAAAACAATCTTTCTCTTTAAAACCTATGGCATTAATCCCTACTTGACAAAAAAAGAAAAATTCTGAAAGGGCACCAAGTTCATGAACTAAGCATGCATAAATAAGAAACTGAATGTATCACTGTTGTAACAGAATTTGGCAAACCAGCAGAATGGCCTAAAATAAATAAATAAATAAATAAGAAGAGAATACCTATTTTCGATATGAAAACATAACTCTGTAGGCCTAGTGCCCATGGAGGAAAAGCAGGGAAGGAGGAAGTAGCATATTCCTATGTACATTTTCTTTGTATTCTGGTTGTCTTTCAACAACACATTACAGAGAAACATTCTGCTTATTATTACAAAGCCATTTACTGCCCTCTGCAGAGCAATGAGTCAGATAAATGATGACTTCTAATAATGTGATGACTTCTAATAATTTTAATATAAAATTAATCAAATCTAAGTGTAAAGCAGTGTTCAATGACTTATTTTTCAAAGGAGGAATGTTAACCTGATTATGAACTGTGAATGGTTGATACTCCTGTTAGGATATTTCATCTTATTTTCTTCTCTTTAAAACATTAAATGTACTGAAATTATTTGGTTTTCCTCTGCATTACTTCATTTTATAGTTATCTATATGTAGAGAGAGAGGTATGTTAAAATACTGTTATAAAAAACTCAAATTCAGGCTGTATATGACCTATTAATCTATAGTTAATAGCATTGCTAATTGTAGACCTGGTATATTAATTCCTTTGGTGAATGAATGTCACAGGTCACTTCCTTGTAAGAGGATTTTAGTGAGGAGGACCAGCAATGTGGAGAGAGATTTCTCGCTAACCAACTGGAAAAAGATGAAGTTCACTCAGTAGTTTAGACCAGTTTTCTAAAATATGAAACTATATAATTTATAGCTGCAATTTTCATATTAAAAGCAGTTAAAAACTAAAAACTAAGAATAATTCCAAGATTTTCTATCTTGGTTAAACAGCCAACTAATACAATTGATTGAGATCACTATGAGAACTTATGTATATCTAGTCAAAATTGAACAAAAATGTTTCTAATTTTTAAAAAGTGGTAGTTGCTAACTGATAATATTAACTAACAGTGTCCACAATTTGGTGGCTGGCCATGGTTTTAATTTTTTTTCAAGTTATTTCTACAGCAGACATAATTTTGAAGTCTACCCACCCCTGAGTTCAGCAATTATACTTTTAGAGTGTAAAATTATATGCCCTTAATTAACAACATGTACAAAGCTACAAAATGTCATCTATACAGAGATTAAAAACAATTTTTAAAATATTATTTACCAATTATTGATTGGATGGTTTTACTGGGGTACATATTTCAAACTGTTCAGCCAATTGGCTTTTACTGTTAAGCCCAAATTGATCCACATATTCAATGCAGGATATTTCAAAAAGAGTGCAACAATAAGGCATTAGTAAAAATAACATTGTAGTAGAAACAGATTTTGCATATGTGAAAAGGTAATTTATAAAATACATTAATCACTTTTTAAAAAGAGAACCTAGTTGTAGCATCATTAACTTACATGGTACTGAGAATTGGACCTTTCAACAAACTTTTTTTTCTATAGAAAAATTTCATCTAGCTATAAGCACAGTCTTTTCAACAAGAAAACAAACTAAATCCCTTCAGGAAAAAGCTGTATGGTTGTGGAGACAAATAAGCAAACACACCATTTTATAGTGTACTTTTGCCTAAAATTAAAATAAAAATGTCCACACTTTTTGTTAAAACATTAAGCCTCTGTCAAAAATGTATTTCTTATTTTAGGATACAGGATTGAAGACAAGATGATACTTACAAGTAAAGAAAATTTACAAGAAAAAGCTTGACAAAAGTTTTTCAATTAAAGTATTATAACATTCAAACAACTTAAAACATAACAAAAGAAACAAGATTGCAAACAAAAATGTTTATGGATTTTCCAAACATAAATAAATGAAATAGTGTTTAGGCAGTAGGGCTCATGCTGATGGCTAGTAGGAAGTAACAGAGTGTAATCTACTTGGAAAAAAACCTTTAATGTACAAATAACAAGCCCAAATTATGGACTGCAGCAATTTAATCATCACTGCCATTTCTCTTACTTCCAAAATAAAGCCTTGATTAAACCATTCATACCCTATATTACTCACACCTTTACTTCAGAGATTGAGGAATTATATACAACAAATGAATTTATTTTCACCATAGGGATAACATATTGTACCTCTCTGCCAATGTTACTTGAAAACCTTCCATGTCAAAACAATTTGACAGCAGATATAAACAATTAAATAAATACGCAATGATCTTTCATTACAGTCCTTTGAAGACGCATGTTAATTCATGCTGTTAACCTTAGGATCACAGTGCATAGAATCCAAATATAAACAGTTGGGGTGCCTTTCAAAGTAATGTTGGATCCCTCACTTTATTTATAATCCCACTATAACCGCTAAGTTCATTTCATAGGCCCTATCATGCATTAATCATCGAGTGGCAGAAGCTAATGAAAACTTTTCCTATTACAACGTCCATTGCCGGCAATGAACGTCTTCAAACCACCAGGGAAGTCATTGTTATTGCACAATACATGAGGACCTGGAACTATTCCAAAAGCTTAAAAAAATAAAAATAAAAAATGGAATTATATTTGACATTTCCTGACACCTGCATTGATACTGTATGACTAATAAAAGCATGTCAGTTGCCTGGACTGAACCAGCGATCAACATGCGCCCAGAATGCACACGAGTAAAAATGCAGTAAAAGGAAGTAGTCTTCATTGCCTATAGGTCACTTCCAGTCAAAGGTTAAAGTTCAAAGACTGAATGATCAAAGTGCTCATTTTCTCAGTAGGACTATCTTCTGCTAGGAGGATGATAACAGTGGCATCATCAACAAGTATCATCTTTAAGAAAAGGAGAAAAAAGAGAATTAAAAAGTTAAGCATGCATAAATAAAATCTACAAATTAATCTAATGTAGAAATATTTTCACTAGCAAAAAGAATATGGTTTACATAATTGCCTCTCTCAATCCCTGGAAATAAAAACTCCAAACTGCTATTATACAGGAATAAACTAATCAAGTTTTACTCTTTAAGGAAATTAGTAGTTCATACAAACCTTAAAGTGATGTAGTTTATTTGTTCTATTTGAAATAATAAATTAAATATTATACCTAATTTCATCATAATGCTTTAAATAAGAATATTTTTAAGAAAACACTGGGAGCTTATATCTCCTAAATTTCATAAGAAAGTATCTGAATCTTAAATTACCATGGAACTTGGAATTTTTTTATGACTACAGAACAAACTTAGGAATATGAAGAAGTTCCTTACAACATCACTTCTCTATAATAAGAGCATTTTATAACACTTGGGTCCTAAATTTTTACTAAGACTAATCATACTCAAATCTCTAGCCTAAAAGGATAACACTGTATTTTACCTATTATGTCAAACTTCATCATTCATTAATTTCTGAAATGAACTGGAGGCAGGTCTATTTTACAAGGGAGATTCTAGCTCTGAATCAAAGGCAAATCCCTCAGCCCATCTGTTATGTTAGGATGAACTGTCTATTTCATATACCTATTTTGCTTAGGTTCCTTAATTTTTTTAACTGTATTCTCTGAACTTAATCGATTTTTCAAAGCAATGGACTGTTGCCTCAACTGGCACACAAGGTATTTCCATTCCAATGCAAGTATGACCTTAATTAATCAATTAATTAATTTTAAAATGTATTTAAAAGGTAGAGTTAGAGCGAGCGAGCGAGAATATCTTCAATCCACTGGTTCACTCCCCAAATGGCCGCAACTGCTGGGGCTGGGCCGGGCCAAAGCCAGGAGTCAAGAACTTCCTCCAGTCTCCCACATGGGTGCTGGGGCCCAAGCACTTGAGCGGTCCTCTGCTGCTTTTCAAGGCACATTAGCAGGAAGCTGGATCAGAAGCAGAAGTGGAGCAGCTGGGACTTGAACCAGTGCCTATATGGGATATTGGCACTGCAGATGGAGGCTTAACCTTCTATGCTACAGGGCCAACCCCAATGTTAATTCCTTAGTGTATAGAAACTATTAAAATAGTTCTAAAAAACATTGCTAACAAATTTACAATACGGAATGTTTACTCACATATCAATACAATTTTTTATATCCAAAGATCTCTGAACACGAATGGGGTGACTTTTTTACACTTGAATGTGCTAAAGAAAACATCTACAAAAACAATATAAGGTATGAAACAGAAACAATAGGATAGCAGTGACTGAATTCTTAAGAGAACGTAAATAAATAATGTGAAAGATCACAAATTTAAGCTGAAGAAAATTTGTTTTCAATAATTCAACACAGGTATCTGGCAGCTTAGCTTTGGTGTGCTGGCAGAGTTCTCTTGTAATAAGAGATGAAGTGAAGCCGGCGCCGTGGCTCACTAGGCTAATCCTCCGCCTTGCGGCGCCGGCACACCGGGTTCTAATCCCGGTCAGGGCACCGGATTCTGTCCCGGTTGCCCCTCTTCCAGGCCAGCCCTCTGCTGTGGCCAGGGAGTGCAGCGGAGGATGGCCCAGGTGCTTGGGCCCTGCACCCCATGGGAGACCAGGAAAAGCACCTGGCTCCTGCCATCGGATCAGCGCGGTGCGCCGGCCGCGGCGGCCATTGGAGGGTGAACCAACGGCAAAAGGAAGACCTTTCTCTCTTCTCTCTGTCTCTCTCTCTCTCTCACTGTCCACTCTGCCTGTCAAAAAAAAAAAAAAAAAAAAAAGAGATGAAGTGAAATTTCAGATCTTTTGCTTTTTATGAATACACTGTGTATCCAGGAAGCCCCTTGGAAAATACATATAACAATAACACTAATCTACACCAAAACCTCCCTCACATTTCTGCTTACACCCGACAAATACACTGACCCAAGTATTCTGATTGTATCACTCAGAGGACTGTGGAACTTGATACCTGAGACATAAAATTCCACTTGGTTTCTAGAAACCAAACTGCTACATGTTCTACTGAGTTTATCCAGTTCTAAGTCAGCCTTTGTTCAATGTCTAATCTTTTTGTTTAGCTTTGCAAATCACGTGAAAGCTGGTCTCTGTATCAAACCTTTGAGAATTGTTAAGAAAGAACAATATTTCTTGGTATCCTCGTTTTATATAAGGTGAACATGCACAACAAAGATCTTCTGTGACAAAAATAGGTAAGTAGAAAAAAGATAAGCCAACATCTGGAAAGTTCTAACAAAAATAGTTGATGAGTTAATATTATACAAGAGAACATCCAATTACCTTTTTGATAAGACTGTTCAAGTTCACCTATAATGCCAAGATAATTTATTATTCATATACTTGTGAAAGCTATTCTGATCATGTATGAAGGAGAAGACAGTATATGCTACAAAGTGAAAATGATTTGTTTAAAATTGAAGGGAAAGTTCAAAAAAATTCTGTTTCATAGCCCCTGTAGACTGACCATGAAATTCACTTATGGAACTAAGTTTTCCCTTAAAGAGAGAATGGATGAAGTGAATGATTCATGCATTTTGGGTTCAAAAAGGAACAGAGGGGTGGGCATTTGGCCTACTGATTAAGACTCCAGTTAGGATGCCCACATCCCACACTGGAGTATCAAGACTGGATTCTGAGATCCTGATGTTTGCTTACTGCCACCCACACTGGAAGACCTACATTGTATTTTAGTCCCCTAGATCCTACAGGCATTTGAGGTATGGGTGTCAGCACATGGGATCTCTCTCTTTTTTTCCTGTCTGTCTCTGTTTCTCTGCCTCTGAAATAAATTTTAAAAAAAGGAGAGCAGAGAGTATATCAGAAGATAAGAATTTCTCACAGTAAGTCACTGAACCAAGGATATTTTAAACAGAATTATATATAAATAAAAAAATTTATCTGTACCTAGGATTGGAGGTTGGACTAAGAAATTCATGATTAGGATGAATTAAATTTCAGTGGCTTTCTAAAAATGACTACTTGTACGGGGGGGGGGGGGGAGAAAAAAAATATTTAAATTTGTTTATTGGGAAAATGAATTCCTGAACAAACTCCAGACTAATTTAGGTAAGATGTTAGCTTGAAATGCTCCACTATTTTTTTGGTACTTCTGGGCTTACTTGGAGATTCACTCTCTCCAAATCATTTATTTATTTTTTAAAGATTTATTTATTGCCGGCGCCGTGGCTCACTAGGCTAATCCTCCACCTTGCGGCACCGGCACACCGGCTTCTAGTCCCAGTCAGGGTGCCAGATTCTGTCCCGGTTGCCCCTCTTCCAGGCCAGCTCTCTGCTGTGGCCAGGGAGTGCAGTGGAGGATGGCCCAAGTACTTGGGCCCTGCACCCCATGGGAGACCAGGAGAAGTACCTGGCTCCTGTCACCGGATCAGTGCGGTGCGCCGGCCGCAGCACGCCGGCCGCGGCGGCCATTGAAGGGTGAACCAACGGCAAAGGAAGACCTTTCTGTCTGTCTCTCTTTCACTGTCCACTCTGCCTGTCAAAAAAATAAAAAAAAATAAAAAAAATAAAGAATTACTTTAAAAAAGATTTATTTATTTATTTATTTGAAAGTCAGAGAGAGAGAGAGAGAGGGAGGAAGGGAGGGAGTGGTGAAAGAAAAAGAAAGAGAGCAAGCGAGCTATCTCCCATCCACTGGGTCACTCCGCAGATGGCCACAATGGTCAGGGCTGGGCCAGGTGGAAGCCAGGAACCCTTTCTGGGTCTCCCACATGGGTAGCAGGTACCCAAGTACTAGGGCCATCTTCCATTGCTTTTCCAGGCCATTAGCAGGAAGCTGGATCAGAAGTGGAGCAGCCAGGACACGAACCAGCACCCATATGGGATGCTGGCATTGCAGGCAGTGGCTTTACCAGCTATACCACAAAAGCTGCCCCATCTGTAATAGTAGAGATTTCTCCATAATAGCTAAAAAGTGTAACTGTATAAAAAGCCATTTCTACTATGAATTATACTTTATTTTAAATAATTAGTTCTTATTTCTGGTCTCACTATGTGACCTTCCCCCATTTGTTATTCAAAATGATAAAGGGCTTTTCATAAATCCTTTCAACTGTACAAGCCAGAATTACAGGGTCTTGAAAACTGATTATCTTTTTCAAATTTTCCTACTGGGGAGTTAGGAAAGAAAAATTATGAATACCCTCTAACAGTGGGGTAAGAGTTGTACTTTCAAAAAACATGCATTTTAAAAATAAATTACTCAGGGTCAGCATTATGGCATAGCTGGGCAAACACCAGCATCCCATATGGATGCCAGTTCAAGTCCTAGCTGCTCCATTTCCAATCCAGCCCCTTGCTAATGGCCTGGGAAGAGCACTGGAAGATGGCTCAAGTATTTGGGCACCTGCCACCCACATGAGAGACCCAGATGAAGCTCTTGGCTTCAGTCTAGCCCAGTGCTGGCCACTGGGACCATCTGCAGAGTGAATCAGCGCCAGCAGATTTTCAAGATGTTTTTCTCTCCCTCTCTGATTTAACAAAAAAAAAAAAAAAAACAACTGGGGCTGACATTGTGGCATGGTAGGTAAAGCTACCACCTGCAATACCAGCCTCCCATATGGGCACCAGTTTGAGACCCAGCTGTTCTACTTTGGATCCAGCTCTCTGTTAATGGCCTGGGAAAGCAGCAGAGGATGGCCCAAGTATATGGGCCTCTGCTACCCATATGGGAGACACAGATAGAGCTCCAGGCTCCTGATTTTGGCCTGGTCCAGCATTGGCCATTAAAGTCACTTGGGGAGGTAGCCAGTGGATGGAAGATCTTCCTCTTTCCTCCTCTCTCTTTCAAATTAATAAATAAAACTCTAAAACAAACAAAACAAAACAAAACATCTACTAGGTCAGTGCTGTGGCGTAGGAAGTAAAAGCCACCATCTTTGATGCCAGCATCTCATATGGATGCTGTTTTGGGTCCCAGCTGTACCACTTCTGATCCAGCTTCCTGCTAATGAGACTAGGAAAGCAGCGGAAGATAGCCTAAGTACTTGGGACCCTGTACCTTTGTGGGAGACTCAGAAGGAGCTCCTGGCTCCTGGCTTCAGCCTAGCCCAGCCCTGGCTATTGGGTCACTCCATTTGGAGAGTGAGCCAGTGGATGGAAGATTTTCTCTCTGTCTCTTTCTCTGTAACTCTGGCTTTCAAATAAATAAATCTTAAAAAAAAAAAAAAAAAGAATTGTTACCTTCAACTATGGGAAGATTTAAAAAAATCCATCACTCTAAGACAATGTCTTACAAAGTTTTGTTTTAAAAAAGAGATGATTTAAAAACATTTGTGGAAAAAAACACAAAAGAGGAATGTTTCTATTACTAGTGAGAATGGATCTGAAACAGAATGACTACTTTGTTAGCAATTTTGACATTTTCAAAAGATCTCTGGGGGTGGGTGTTTTAGCCTAGCTCAGCCTCCTGACTCCAGCTTCCCACTACTGCAAAACAGAAGGCAGCTGGGAGAGCTCAAGTATTTCAGTCCCTGCCACTGGGCTTCAGTCTGGCCTGGTTCCCAGCTTCAGACAGGATCAGCTCCAGCTCCTACAGACATTCGGGGAGTGGATCAGAGGATGGAAGATCTCTTTCTCTGTTTCCCTCCACCTCTCAAATTCAAATATATAAGTAAATATAAATATAAATGTATGTATTCAATGCAAATTGAAGTAGAGAGCCATTTAATTGCATTAGGGTCATATTAAATATTTTAGGGGATCCTCAGTGCCTACAAGGAATTCTTTAAGCTAGATTATTAATGAGTCTATTTGGAAACCTGTTTTTCTAAGAATACTTGAAACAGTAGCTCTTAAATGACTAGCCATATGAGGGGATATCTTAAAAACCCTATTTTGGGCACAGTAATAACGTTTTTCAGGTTCCTCAAAAAAGTAGTACTCGACAAGACTTTGATGAAGAAGCTCCCAAGAGAGGTGTGGGGGAGGGGCAGGTATGGAGTGAATGTATGTGTGTGTATATGTGCAGAAGGATTTATTCCATGAAAACAGCATGTGCAAAGGCAATAGATGGTGGAATAGAGTGTACATTACAAATAGTGCTCCACTGACCACTTCATGAATAAAATGTTTCTCGTATTAGTTTCCTGTGAAACCAGGAGCTCTTAATGCTATTACCAAAGACGAAGTTCTTCATAGGATGCCACAGTCATTAGTAGTGTTGTTTTCCTGGGGAATTCTAAGACTCAGCCATTTAAAATCACAACACAATACATGGCTGGTGAGGGAGAAAAAAGATTCCAATATCTTAAAAAAAATAATTATTTTCTTAGAATGGATTCTCAGTTTACTGAGACAAATGATTTGATCTTGAAATTTCAGCTTCTTAAATACTGCTAAAATATTTCCTCACCATCCCATATGAGCAACCAGCTGCTCTGCTTCTGATCCAGCTTCCTGCTAATGTGCCTGGAAAATCAGCAGATGATGGCCAAAGAGCTTGGGCCAGAGACCCAGAAGGAGTTGCAGACTCCTGGCTTTGGCTTGGCCCAGCTCTGGTCTTAGTGGCCATCTGGGGAAAGAACCAGCAGATGGAGGATCTCTCCCTACTCCCTCTATAACTCTGTCTTTAGAATAAATAAATCAATTTAAAAAAACAAAAACAAAAAGGATTACACTAAATTTTCTATGTAACACCAGCAGATATAAAAGCTGTATTCTACTCTTTACTATCTTTCAATATTGCATTCATTTTATAAAACCCTACCAATTCAATTATTCACAGTTCCAAAAATCTTAAATTTGCAATTTTAATGAGCTGCACTTTTTGCCTATGTTGTTATTTACTCTTAGATAACTTTGAAATAAGTCTTAATTTTAATAAGGTACACATATTTTTCAAAGTATTTAAAACTTCATATGGGGGCGGTGTTGTGGTACAGCAGGTAAAACCATTGCCTGAGATGCCGGCATCCCTTATGAACGCTAGTCTGAGTCTCAGCTTCTCTGTTTCTGATCCAGTTCCCTGCTAATGTATCTGGGAAAGCAGCAGAAGATGGTCTAAGTACTTCTGCCACTGCCATCCATTGGAGAGCAGGATGGAATTCTTGGCTCCTGGCTTCAGCCTGGCTAAGCCCCAGTCATTGTGGCCATGTGGGGAAGTTAATCAGTGGATGGAAGATCTCTCTCTCTATAACTCTGCCTTTCAAATGAAATAAATCTCAAAACTACTTTATAATGATAATGCTTTCTCCTGGTCGCTCCTCTTCCAGTCCAGCTCTCTGCTGTGGCCCGGGAAGGCAGTGGAGGATGGCCCAAGTGCTTGGGCCCTGCACCCACATGGGAGACCAGGAGGAAGCACCTGGCTCCTGTCTTGGAACTGGCGCAGCGTGCCGGCCGTGGCAACCATTTGGGGGGGGGGGGTGTGAACCAATGGAAAAAGAAAGACCTTTCTCTCTGTCTCTGTCTAACTCTGCCTGTCAAAAAAAAAAAAAAAAAAAAAGCTTTCAAAAAAATTTAAAAATTTCATATAACTTAAATTTTTTGTGGCTCCTTTTAAATTTAGTAATCTCCCTCTAGAGAATGTCCAGTGTTTTAAAAAAAAATGTTTGTTTTTTTCTTAAATACCTAATCCACAGGAAACATTTTATATGAAGTGACTATATAAATTTCTTTCTTAAATTACCAGTTTTCTAAGATGATGACTATTTCTTTCCCCTTCTCACTGACTTGCAACGGATTTCCCAAATATTATATACAACAAGGCCTATGTAACAGTAATTCTATTTTCAGTGATGTACTCTTACATTAATATGTTTTACCATCTGGTAGACTTTGTTCTCTGTTACCCTTTGTAGTTCAAGTTTTGCTCTCCTCATCTATATTTTTTCAAACATTTTTTTTTTTTGAAAGGCAGAGTTAGACAAAGACACACACACACACACACACACACACACACTCCATCTGCTGGTTCACTCCCCAAACAGCCACAATGGCTGGGCTGAAGCCAAGAGCTCCAAGCTGGGTTTCCCAGACAAGTTGCAGGGTCCCAAGCACTTGGGCCATCTTCCATTGCTTTCTCAGGTACATTACCACAGTGAGGGGGATCAGAAGTGGAGCAACCAGGACTTGAACCAGAGTCCACAGGGAATCAGGTGTCGCAGGCACCATCTTAACCTAATGTGACACAATGCTTGCCCCCTGAACTTTTCTTTTTTAAAAAAGATTTATTTATTTATTTTACAGGCAGAGTAACAGAGAGTGAACGAGAAGAGGAAGCTGGATGAGTAGCTGGGACCCACACCTGCTTAACCTGCAGAGCAACAACCCAGGCCCCCTCCAACTTTTCCAGCACCTTTCCTCATCATTCCACTGGATTTTTACTGAATTACATTAAACCCCAAATTTGTAAATAATATATACCTAAGAAAAGTAGTTTCTCATTAAAGTATCTCAATATTTTTTCATTTTTTCAAGGGTTTTTTTACTTTCTTCTTCTAGGTCATACATCTCATTAACTTCACAAATTTTCATATTTTGTGTCTCTCAGGAATAGCATTCTTGTTTTTTAAAAAAGATTTATTTATTTATTTGAAAGTCAGAGTTAGAGAGAAAGGGGGGGAGGGGAGAGGGAGATGGAAAGGGACAGAGAGATACCTTTCATCTACCGGTTCACTTCCCAGATAGCTGCAACAGCCAGGCCTGCGCCAGGAGCTTCATCTCGGTCTCCCACATTGGTGGCAGGGGCCCAAGTACTTGAGTCATCTTCATCTGATTCACCCAGACCATTAGCAGTGAGCTGGATCACAAGTGGAACAGCCTCGACATGATTTGGCACCCATACAAGATGCTGGAGATGCAGGTGGCTGCTTTATCAGCTATGCCACAATACTGGCCCCAAGAATACCATTCTTCTTTCACTCTTTCTACTATGTATCAGCTGGCATGGCATTACTACTTCATTGACTCTGGTCACTTTTTATTTCAATACCTGGAGAACTCTTAAGTTTATAATTTATTCAGTTTAAGTGAGGATACAGAAAGTTTCATATTGGATAGAAAAGGAGAAAGGTCATATTCCTTCAGTTTTTCCCGTTCTAATTTGTATTGGGTTAACAAAAACAAACAGGAAAACACAGGCAGATGCTTCTATGTATACAAAATCACACAGGGTGGTTTTATTTCCTCTTTAAAATGAACATTATGGAACATAAATGTTTTGTTTTCATTTCAAATACTTCTTTGAGGAAGCTGTAAGGTTAGTTCAGAAAAGATGCTAGCAGCTCTGAATTATAAAGCTATCATTATCTCTCTTGTCTTTCTCTCTGCCTCTCCAATAAATAAATAAAAATTTAAAAACAGCAGACTGGGGCCAGCATTGTGATGTAGCAAGTAAAGCCACCACCTGCAATGCCAGTATCCCATATGGGTGCAATTTGTTTCCCAGCTGCTCCATTTCTGATCCAGCTCCCTGCCATTCATGGCCTGTGAAAAGCAGTGAAGGATGGCCCAAGTATTTGGGCCCCTGCTACCCATGTGGGAGACGTGGACGAAGCTCTTGGCTTTGGCCTGGCTCAACTCTGGCTGCTGCAGCCATATGGGGAGTGAAACAGTAGATGGACAATTTCTGTGTCTCTTCTAACTCTTTTGAGTAAATAATTTATTTTTTAAAAAAAGTGGTACAGTCTCATAATGTTAACGTAATTTTAGATTTTAGTTGTATTGTATGATGGATGTGATTTTGCTTGCCCACTAAATCTAGACTGAAGGGCAGGTATCTAGCATAGTGATTTAGAAACTGTATCAGTACTGGGTTAGATACGCTGCTCCCACTCCTATCCCCAGCTCTCTCCTAATGTGGAAAGAAGGCAGCAGTAACAGTACAAGTAATGAATTACTGCCACTTACACGGAGACCTAGATTGAGGTCCTGGCTTCAGCCCAGTCCAGTCTGGCTGTTATGGGTGTGGGCATCTGGGTAATGAACCAGTGGATAACAGATCTGTTTCTGTCTCTCTACTTCTCAAATAAATAAAAATAAAAATAAAATGTAGTATATAGTTCATCCATAAAATATCCTACAATGTTTTCAAGAACTTTTTCCATACTGATATCATAAAAACAGGATCAATTATATCTTCTGCTCTTTTTTTCTAAGTCCTAACAGATACATATCAAGTCAAAATGCAAAAACAATTACCATCCCAAATTAAATCTGCTTACCATGATACCACCATTTTGTTTTCTTTGGATTCTTGTTACATGTTCGCACATAAAAAGAATTATCTGGTGGTCGTCTCTGAAACAAAAGAAGTGAGTTTAAACAGCTAAGAAGTTGTAACATAGAAAACTTGCAGGGGAGATAGCTTGAGGAAAAGCTCATGCACAATTATTACAGAAAGCATAAAAAACACTGTCAACACTAACAGCATGACTAAAAGAACAAGAACTATAAATATAGCCAGAGAAATATATACTTTTGACCCATAAATTGTTTTTAAAAGGAGATGGTGGTGTATGTGTATGGTCCTGGTTAGGCTGCAGTCAGTGGGATCACTAACAGAATGACCATCAACCAAAATTGATGGCATTAAGATAAAGGAATTTTAGTTTCATGTATCTTATAATTTCTGTAGGAATAATAACTACTTCTGTGAGCTAATTAAAATGGAAAAGTCTACTTAACTAGGTTTGTCTAAAGAACTAAGAACAACTTAAAATCTCCACACCTCCAAAGTCTTACTGTTTTAGTGTAATAAAGTATTATTGAGGAAAGATCAAAGGATTCCATTCCTAAACAAAATATAAGAGGAAAAAAAAGACAACATATTTTGGCCTTTCTGGACTAGAACAATACAAGAAACAAGACAGCTCTGCAAGGGAATTATGTTAGAAGCCATGATTCCAACAACACTGAAAGTAGATAATACAACAGAGTTCTTTCTGAAAACCCTTGGATACTGACCAGACACAAGAAATTTGACTTGGGGCCAGCACTGTGGTGTAGCGGGTAAAGCTGCCACCTGCAGTGCCGGCATCCAATATGGGCACTGGTTCAAGACCCAGCTGCTCCACTTCCGATCCAGCTCTCTGCTATTGCCTGGGAAAGCAGTAGAAGACGGCCCAAGGCCCTGGGCCCCTGCACCCGTGTGGGAGACCTGGAAGAAGCTCCTGGTTCCTGCCTTCACATCAGTGCAGCTCTGGCCATCACAGCCATTTGGGGAGTGAACCAACGGATGAAAGACTCTCTCTCTCCACCTCTCCTTCTCTCTGTGTAACTCTTTCAAATAAACAAATCTTTAAAAAAAAAAAAATGACTCTACAAAGATTAGGAAACATATTAAGTTCACATTAAAACTACCAAGGGAAGGTTTGAGATAATATGATAGATATTCCTATCTTTTAGTTTTCTTTTCATCTACTCTCAGCACTGTTCTGATGGATATTTTTTTTCCCTGCCCTTAAACGTTTCATAGTGTTTAGACAGGCATCTTTTCAGATTTCATCAACTGTTCAGCTAACCTACTAAAGACAAGAGACTAAGAGAATTCTTTCCTCTAAGTCTAATCAAAAGAAATGGAATGGGGGACCAGCACTGTGGCATAAGGGGGAAAAGCTGCTGCCTGTAAGGCAGACATCCCACAGGCGCATTAGTTCAACTCCTGGCTGTTCCACTTCCTATCCAGCTCCCTGCTAACGTTCATAGGAAAACAGAAGATGGCTGAAGTGTTTGGGCAACTGCACCCACATGGGAGACCCAAATAATCAATCTCCACTGGCTAGGGAGTGAACCAGTGGATGGAAGATCTCTTTCTCTCTGTCTCCCCCTAACTTTGACTTTCAAAATAAATAAATCTTAAAAAAAAAAAAAAATGAAGTGGAATGGAGATATTATTTCAGGAAGGTCCAACCAGAAAGCAAAGTTAATAGGACTACCTAGATAGCAGGAAGGTAAATAATCCACCTGACTGTAACTAAAACTCACACACTTGATTCACGTTTGTGTTAATATTTAATAGTAATTTAATTTAACAAAAGGAACATTGTCACATAAGGTGTTCAACAACTATCCTAAGATTATTCTGTTGGCATAATCTGAGAAAATTCCTGAAAATTTAGTAATTAGATACCTGACTACCTTGAAGAGATGGTCCTCTGTTGTTTGTCATGCAAAGTTAAACCAGGGTTCGAACAATGGAATAAACTTCTATTATTATAGCAAATCATCTCAAACTCACTTTATCTATTTTGTTTAGAAGCCAAGAATTTATCTATTTTGTTTAGAAGCCAAGAATTATAACAGCCTTTAAAAATATTTAAGAAGGAATAAAAACACTCATTCTATTTGCTTAAGTCTGGAATATAACCAATCTGTTAAGTGATCAGGGAGATACAGTTCTGAAAAAAAAAAAAAAAGTAACTTTACCAAGAGATGGATATTTTTTTTTCCTGCCCTTAAATGTTTCATAGTGTTTAGACAGGCATCTTTTATCAAATTGTTTCAGGAACGGAATACAAGGCTGGGAAGGCTGGGCAGTGTAAGAATATTATAAGGGCATTGACAATAAAGGATAGATTACTAAAAGGCCATTGGTCCCATTATCAGTATTTAATCTACTGAAATCTACTGATAGATTTCATTATTTTTTATACAGACTTCATTTAAATGACTTCCACAGGGCTGGCACTGTGGTGTAGTGGGTAAAGCTACTGCCTGTGACACCAGCATCCCACATGTATGCTGCTTCACTTTCTGGCTGGTCTACTTCTGACCCAGGTCTCTGCTAATGTGTCTGGTAAAAGCAGCAGAGGATGGCCCAACTTTCTGGGCCCCTGCCACCTACATGGGAGACCTGGAAGAAGCTCCTGGCTCCTGGCTTTGGCCTGGCTCAACCTCAGCCATTACAGCCATCTGGGAAGTTCAACAGTAGATGAAGATCTCTCTGTGTCTCTGTCTCTATGTAACTCTGACTTTTAAAATAAATAAATAAATTTTAAACAAATGAAAGCCTTCAGCCTAGGGAACCATTTCTTGTAAAAGGGAACTAGAACAAAATAAATGACTGAATCAAAGTCCTAAATACCTTTAGTGAAAACTGACGTGTATATTCAGAGTTTAAGTACAGCCCACAGACCAAAGTCTACCACAGATGACCTGTTTTAACAGCAGAGCTTTAAGGTGGGTACCTAAAAGACCTTTGAAAGCTTATTTGGAGCTGTATCTCCTCAGTCTGAAGCACATTTCCTTCTCATCTTTATAACATAGCACTAAGCACAGTAAAAACAGCAAACATCTAATAAAAGTTTGTTAAATCGTATATTTAACAGACATTTTGACTATAACACCAGCTTCCCATATGGGCACCGATTCCAGTCCCAGCTGCTCCAGTTAAGATCCAGCTCCCTGCTAATGTGCTTGGGAAAGTAGCAGAAGATGGCTCAAGTCCTTGGGCTCCTGCACGTGCCCACATGGGAGCCCCAGATGAAGTTCCTGGCTTCCATCTGGCCCGGTCCTGGCTGTTGTGGCCATTTAGGGAGTGAACCAGTGGATGGAAGACCTTCCCCCCCCCGCCCCTTTCCCTCTGTAACTCTGCCCTCCAAAATAAATAAAGTCTTAAAAAAAAAAAAAAAGTTTATTGGGGCCAGCGCTGTGGTGCAGCAGGTTAACACCATGGCCTGAAGCACCGGCATCCCATATGGGCACTGGTTTGAGACCCGGCTGCCCCACTTCTGATCCAGCTCTCTGCTACGGCCTGGGAAAGCAGTAGAAGATGGTTCAAGTCCTTGGGCCCCTGCACCCACATGGGAGACCGGGAAGAAGTTCCTGGCTCCTGGCTTCGGATCGGCACAGCTCCGGCCGTTGTGGCCAATTGGGGAATGAACCATCTGATGGAAGACCTCTCTCTCTCTCTCTCTGCCTCTCCTCTTTCTGTGTAACTCTGACTTTCAAATAAATAAGCAAATCTTTAAAAAAAAATTTATTGATACTTTATATAGCATGGCAAGTCTTAAAACTAATCATGCAAGAAACACTAGTAGCAGACAAATACAATGTGAGGAGAATGGCAAAGGTTAGAAGGATGAAGGAGGCACAATGGATTCTCAATGTGTATTATGGAAAAACCATGCGTGAACTTCAAAATTTTTCTGCAAAAAATAAGTATTTTTTAATTCAATTTTTCTGGAGACTTTTTATTGACAATCCAGGACCACTTAATTTTACTATTTATTTATTTGAAAGGCAGAGCAACAGAGAGAAGGGAGGGAGGGAGGGAGGGAGGGAAAGAAGAGGGGAGGGAAGTAGAGGGGAGAGAAGAGAGGAGAGAGGAGAGGAGGTCAGTCTCCCAGAGAGGAGAGAGGGAGAGAGGAGGAGAGGAGAATGAGAGGAGGCAGAGGGAAGAAAGGAAAGGAGAGAGGGAGAAAGGGAGGGAGAGAGAAGAGAGAATAAGGGAGGAGGACAGGAGGGAGGAGAGGAGAGAAGAGGGGAGGCATAGGAAGGGGAGGGGAAGAAGCGGAGAGGAGAGAGGGAGGGGAGAGAAAGGAGGGGGAGGAGGGGGAGGGGAGGGGAGGGAGAAGAGAGGAGAGAGGGAGGGGAGAAAAAGGGAGGGAGGGGGAAGGTAGGGGAAGGGGGGAGGGGAGAGGAGGAGAGGGGAGAAGAAGGGAGGGGAGGGGGAGGGGAGGGAGAGGAGAGGAGAGGGAAGAGGGGAGGAGAGAAGAGGAGAGGGGAGAGGAAGGGAGGAGAGGAGAGGGGAGAAGAGGAGAGGAGCTCAGTCTTCCAGAGAGAAGAGAGGGAGAGAAGAGAGAAAGAGGAAAGGAGAGAAAGAGAGAAAGGGAGGGAGAGTGAAGAAAGAGGGAGGGAGGGGGAGAGAGGAGGGAGAGGGACGGTTCACTGCCCAAATGGCTGCAAAAGTCAGGACTGGGGGCTGACACTGTGGTGTAATGAGTTAAGCCACAGCTGCAATGTTGGCATCCCATTTCAGAATGCCGGTTCAAGTCCTGGCTGCTCTGATTCCTATAAAGCTCCCTGCTAATGGTCTTGGGAAATCAGCAGATGATGTCCAAGTACTTGGGCCCCTGCCACTCACATGGGAGACCCAGATGGAGTTCCAGCTTCCTGGCTTCCGCCTAGCCCAACCTTGGTTGTTGCAGCCATTTGGAGAGTGAACCAATGGATGGAAGATCTCTGTTTCTCACTCTGCCTTTCAAATAAATAAAAAATAAATCTGAAGGGAAAAAAAGAGCCAGGAACTCCATGTAGCTCTACTACAGGGGTATCGGGGGTGAGGGTGAGGCAAGTACTTGGGGCATCCATCATTTGCTGCCTTCCCTCCACAATTTTTTCGAAGTACCCTCACAAATAGAAAGAGCATAGCGATTCTCCAGTTTTTAATAGTAAATTACTATATTTAAATATAAACAAAAGCTAATAATCATAAGGCACAGGCAAACTATGAGCAAACTGCTCTGTAGTACTGTAGTACATATAAAAGTTTAAAATGAGTGTGTTGGGGTGAGTGAGAAAAGAAAATATGGAAGGAATAAATGAGGAAGACTTGCTTCTAAAGTCTTTGGGATTAATAAGAGCTCAATTACAGCCTGAAAATGTAGCATGAAAAACACCAACAATAAAGAGGAAATGAAAGTTAAAAAGTGATGTTAACAATACACAGGTACATTTTTTTCTGCAAATTTTAATATTCCTGACTAGGGATATGTCTTTTAAATAATAGTGCAATTTTCTATTTTTTTCTTTATTTTATGGTACATAAAATTGCATATGAAGGGCTCTTAATCTTATAATTTGAAGAAATATAATGTAATCCATTATTTTCCATGATTATTTGAACAAGAACTGTTTTGTTTGCTTTTTTCCAAGACACTCACTTGTTGAAATAGAGTCTAAATGTTTCAGATTCTAAATAACCTATCATTTAAAAATGAACTACAAGGCCGGAGCTGCAGCTCACTTGGCTAATCCTCCGCCTGCAGCACTGGCACCCGGGATTCTAGTCCCGTCCCCGGCGCACCGGATTCTGTCCCGGTTGTTCCTCTTCCAGTCCACCTCTCTGCTGCGGCCCGGGAAGGCAGTGGAGGGTGGCCCAAGTGCTTGGGCCCTGCACCCGCGTAGGAGACCAGGAGAGGCACCTGCCTCCTGGCTTTGGATCAGCGCAGCGCACCGGGCATAGCAGCCATTTGGGGGGTGAACCAACAGAAGGAAGACCTTTCTCTCTGTGTCTGTCTAACTCTGCCTGTCCAAAAAAAAAAGAGAACTACAAGGCATGCGTTATGCTTCAACAGGTTAAGCCAATGCTTGGAATGCACAAATCCTATTATCAAAATGCCTGGCAAATTGAGTCCTGCCTCCACTTCTGATCCAGCTTCCTGCTAACACATCTGAGAGGCAGCAGATGATAGCTGAAGTACTTGCATCCTTGACACCCACATAGGAGACCTAGCTGGAGTTCCCAGATCCTGACTTCTGCCTGGCCCCACCCTGGCTGTTATAGGCATTTAGGGGAGTGAATCAGTAGATGAAAGATCTGTCTCTCCCTCTGTCACTCTGCCTTTCATATAAATAAATCTTTAAAAAAGCAATAATAAAAATGAATCACTATCTTAAAAGTTCTCTAAACACAAATTTAATAAAAAATGGCAGTGCAACTTGGAGAACAAAGGAAAAAGAAGGCCTGCTAAACACACAAACACAACATAGGTTCCTTTCTAAGGCAAATTTGTTTTCTCCTTTAAACAGAATACAAAGCTAAAACTTCATGGGAAAAAGGGTTTTATTTATTTTTATTTTTAAAATTTGTTATTTACTTCATTTTATTTGAGAGCGCGAAAGCAAATGCATAAGATATTCTAAGTGCTGGTTTTCTTTCCAAATATCTGTAACAGCAAAGGCTGGGCTAGGCTGAAGCCAGAATCAGAAGCCAGAGCCAGGAACTCAAGCAGTTTTCCAGAGAAATGGCAGGGACCCAAGTACTTGAGTGCATGCTAAGAAGAAGTGGGACTCAAACCTAGGACTCCAATTGGGATGTGGCATCCCAAGTGGAGTCTTCACTGCTGCATCAAATGCCTGCCCTAAGAAGAGGCTTTAAAATGCAGGGACTTGGCGCCAGTGCTGTGGCCACAGTGGACTAAGCCACTGCCTGCAACGCCAACACCCACATGGACATTAGTTGGAGTCCCGGCTGCTCCACTTTCAATCCAGCTCCCTGCTAATGCGCCTGGGAAAGCAGCAGAAGATGGCCCACATGCTTAGGCTTCTACCACCCTTGTGGGAGACCTGGAAGAAGCTCCTGACTTCAGCCTGGCCCAGCCCCAGCCATTGTGGGCCCTTCGGGAGTGAACCAGCAAATGGAAGATATCTTTTTCTTTTTCCTCTCTCTTTGTAACTCTGCCTTTCAAATAAATAAATTATAAAAAAACTAGAGACCCACGTTGTGCCACAGTGGGTTAAGCATCACTTCAGACACTGGTGTCCCATACTGCAGTGCACAGTTTGAGTCCTGGCTGCCCCACTTCTAATTCAGTTCCCTGCTAATGCACCTGGGAAACCAGAGGAAAATGTTCCAAGTACTTGGGACCCTGCCACCCACATGGAATTCCAGGTTCTTGGCTTTGCCTGGTCCAGCCCTGGCCATTGTGGCCATCAGAGGTGTAAAACAGTGGATGGAAGATCTCTTTCTACCTTCCAAATAAACAAAATAAATTATAAAAAAATTAAATGTAGAAATACATGAATATTATGCTACACCAATCCTCAAGTAGGAATAAGAATGCCAAAAACACATAAGGGGTTCTGGCACCATTAAAGGGTATGCTAAATTTAACTAATGTGATTTTTCTTTCTGGTCTTTTTTCCTACCTCCCTCAGACATAGAATCTGTGGATTAGGAATGCAGAACAGGAGGAAAATCCTTAACAGTTCTACAGGTAAACTGGCTCTCCTTTCAAACTAACCATTAGTATAGGAAATCTTCTAAAAGAAACTGACAGGGCAGGAGCTGGGAAATGAGAGAGGGAAGCTATGATGCGGCTGGGCCTTTCCACTGTGAAATCTGGAAATAAAAATTTCTTGTATACTTTTGCCCTATGCATGCCTATGAAAATAAAATTCAGATAATTTAAGAACATGTGCAGACATTTCCTGTTTTAAAAATGTAAAATAGTTAAGTATGACTTCTAGTCATTCAACATTAAAACTTCTATTTGGAATGAAAGATTCAAAATAATTTTCTAATTTATTACTAAACATGACATTCCCTACTATTATAAAATAAAAAGCATGAGTTTTTTCATCAAATAAAAATAATTTTATATTAAAACTGTTTATCTAACTAAACTGAAAGAAGAAATATTACCTGTAGGAATTCTGAAAAGTCCTACCTTTTCTTTGCAGCTGGAAAGCATACTAATAATGCTAAGACAAACTGACTGGACTGAGAGCGCTGGGGACCAGTCTTCTGTTAGAATGGATAAACAGATATGACCATTGCTATAAACATGAGGATGAACAGGAATATTTTCACCAGTAAACATGACCTAAGAAAGAATAAAATTTTATTAACACTCAAATATTCTCTATTACCAAAAAAGAAAATATTGTACACAAGTAATAAGTATTGACTTCTAAGAACAAAATGAAAACAAACCAAAATCAGTGTCCGGAACAAGATAAATAACTATTTGTTTATTCTCATTTTCTCAGTTAAGTATGGGTTTCATTGTAAGAATAACCATGTAGTACGGGGGAAATCCCAAGTTACTTTATATTTCAATTATCTTTTAATAAATTCCCATTAGAATTTCTAAATTACTAGGTATTTTTTGACTAGTGAAAGACAACTACATTTATAAGAATAGTTTTACAGGTTCCTCTCATTGCTCTCAGCATACAAAAACCAAGTTCACCAGAATTTCAAACAAAAAAGTATTCAATTTTGAAACAATATGAACCACAGGTGGTTAGGATCACCTCTACCTCAGCTACAAATGCCAGCACCTAAGCAAAGGAAAATGACAATACATATATATATACATATTCCATATATGTATATTCCACTATAATACATATATTCCACATCCTCTAAACTCATATCCATTTTTACGGGCAACTTACTAGTCATTAATTGGCAATAATTAAGCTCCTAGATGAAAAACACAGTTTGACTGATTCTCCTAATTACGTTCATCTCTGCTTTTCCTTTTACTTAATTCTTCTAACAGTTTTCCCTTTCTCTATCTTGTTTCAGCACTGTTTTGAATGGTAATAAATCCATTACTCCTTTTCCTTTGTCCTAATAATGGGAAAAAAACCGTTAACAGTGTTTCTCAAATATCTATCTAAGCATTTGAATAGGCATAAAGCATCTGTAAGCATAGTCAAAAATAATTCAAAGAAAACAGTAATAACTTTTATGTTTAGGAATGTTTTTATATATATCCTTCTCCAGAATAATTATTTTTACATGAAAAATTAAAAGATTGCTACTTTAAGTCTTTCAAATTTTATATCACAATACTACATTTATTTTGCAATTTGCAGTAATTCCTAACTCCTGATCTTGTCATTTGAAAAAAGAAAAAATCACTTGATAGTCTAGTTAAAAACACAAAATCGGGGGCCAGCACTGTGGCGCAGTGGGTTAGCTGCCGTCTACAGTGGCTGCATCCCATCTGGTTCATGTTCTAGCTGCAACACTTCTGATCCAGCTCCCTGCCAATGCACCTGGGAAAGCAGTCGAAGATGGCCCAAATCCTTGTGCCCCTACACCTACCTGGGAGATCTGGATGAAGCTCCTGGATCCTGGCTTCAGCTTGGCCCGACTCTGGCCATTGCAGCCATTTAGGGAGTGAACCAGCAGTTGGAAGCTCTCTCTCCTTTTCTGTAATTCTGACTCTCAAACAATATAAATCTTTAAACACACACACACACACACACACACACACACAGTGTCCTACTTTCAAAGGTAGGTAATGTGATATATATATAAAGCAACAGCTTCTAAACTAGGCTGAAAGTACCACTCAGCCCTGAAAACTGCCTCATACCTGAAGATAGGGTATCAATAAAAAGGAATCCTGTTTTATTACAGAAACTGATAAATTACATATTGTTCCTAGGCATACCCTTTCCCCTCCTCTTTCTAAAGCAGAAAAGAAAGCCAGAGAACTAAGTATGGTCAGAGTAAGTTGGTTTAATATGAAACATATTATGGAAAGCCACAGAAAGCTAAGGTTTTACAGATAATTAAAATATGCAGCTATAATTCTGATTTTATAATTTTACAAACCTTTACATATTAACAAAGCAATTTTTCATACAAGTTAAGAGTCTTCTAATATCTTAAATACACTAACATGTGGAACTCATTTCCTTGACTGACACTAATATAAGGCAGCAAAAGGAATTTTCCATATTTGCACATTCTTCATTTCTTTTGTTTAATTCTGGCCATCCACCCCAAATCTTCACTATAAAATGCTAAAACAAGGCTGGAAAATAAAAGTCAAGTCTCAAAATAAGAGAAATCAAGTAACTTGTCCTACTCTGAATGCAGAAGACACCCCAAAAAGAACCTGACTTTGGACCAGTTGTGTGCTAACCATGCCAAGTCTTTCAACTGCATCCATGAATGCTGGTGCTCTCTTCACCTTGTGCTAAAAATGTGCTGCTCTGCAAAAGGAAACAGCTGCTCATAGGTCTTACAGTTCCAAGCTTTAAGTCTGTCCATCAGTTTTTAAAATAAAACTTTACTTTTCACAAATATGAACTACAATTTATTACACTGTATCCATTAAATATTCCTAAAATGTGTTGTGGATGTCTAGGATGGGAGCTTATAAGTACCACAGAACATGTTTCTACTTTAGGGTATTCATTTGCCATGAAAACACATTTGACTAATTGGACATTTTCATTAAGAACACAAACAATACCCAAGAGTTTATTCCCTGGCTGTAATTGTTTTTTGAAGGATACTTTTTCCAGGAAGCTTTTGTTATGAAATGTCCAAAAAATGAAGAACTGTCACTTATCTTCTTTGGGAAAAAAATGAATCTATGGATCATCAGCTACAAGAAAAATACACTGACAACCAAATGCAAAGGTTATCACCACATGCTTTGACTAACCAAGTCACAGAACAGAAGGAAAGTAGTATTTTTCTGGGAGAGAAATTATTATATACTTAATCATGCAATCAGAGCCATGAAGTATGCATGAATTTAAAGGAAATCAGGAGAGAAAGGAAAGAGAGAGTGGCACTGGAAGATACTGAGAGCAGAAGTAGCAGACATTCTACATAAGCAGAGAAGAGAGCTCAAAAATCAAGACAGAAAAGTTATGAAGTAGGAGGAGGCTGAAATAAATCAGACTTCAATCACAAATAAAAAAGTAAAGGCTTTTCAACATGCTTCATGCAAAGCAAATGCAGCCTGTCTGAAACTTTGGGCAACCAAAAGCAAGGGAATTAATTATTTGTACACATTATAAGTAACCCCTAGGGCCTAACCTGCCAGAAATAGAATTTCAGAAGTTTGTCTAAACAAGGGAAGGCTGACTTTACATGCCAGAGGTAACTTCCTGAAATAAAATCTTCTCAACAGTTTATTCATGTTAAAGGTTGGTAGGCAGTTTTCACAGCCAGTTTTAAAGTAATCCTTGTAGCTCTAGCTCTCTGCCTGATGTTATGGGGGACAGTAACCAAGCTCAATTTCCATTCCCATTTATTTAACATTTAGCAGAAGCCAAAGGAAGAAGTGAAATTTCAGTTTTTTTAAAATGGAACCAAATTGATTCTGAAAACTAAAAAGAGATCGTTTCTAGAGTTAAAAAAAATTTGGAGTCTCAAGTAGGCAATAAAACTAGAACTCTGGGATTGGACATTTGGTGCAATGGTTAAGATGCCAGGATCTGGGTTTAAGTCCTGGCTCTCTTCCCAATTCCAGTTTCCTAATAATGCACACCCTGGGAGGCAGCAGATGATGGCTCAACTACTTGGGTCCCTGCCACCCACGTGAGAGACATGGATTGAGTTCTAGGCACCTGGCTGTTGCTGGCATCTGAAGTGTGAACCAGAGGACAGGTGTTACCTCTGTCTCCCTTTCAAATAAAAAAAAAAATTAATTAATTTAAATGTATTCATTTTAAAAATCAAAAACAAAACAATCAGCTCACGTGACCACTGTGTGTTAAACCACAAGAACTTTGCCAATTCAGACTCAAACTGTCATATAAACAGTTTATAACCAGAGACTGCACACATTCCCCAGTGTATAAACCACCTGAGTAAAATGAACTAAACAATCTTGGAGGAAAAGAAAACTATTTTATGGAAATAAAGTTTGAAACTTAGAAAAGGATTTTAGCTCTAATGTACATGAATCATATTGAAGTTCTGAGTCTGCATTAGAATCAGTCCTCAAATGTCTCTAAATTTCCAAACATCTCCTTAGCAGTGCAGCTTATTTCAAAGAGCAAATGAGAGCTAAGACAAAATTATGCTCAGCATATCTATAATTATTTTAAATTAATAAATCTGAAAAGTCAGGGAGAGAGACAGACACAGAGATCTGAGAACGCCCATCTGCTTTTGTTCACTCCCCAAATGCCTGCAGCAGCCTGGGGGTGGTCGAGAGGCCAAAGTCAGTCTCAGGGAACTCAATCAAGTCTCCAACATGGGTGGCAGGGACCCAAGTATTTGAAGAATTACCTACTGCCTCCCAAAGTACACATTAGCAGGAAACTGTACCAGAGAGCAGAGACAGGGCTCAAAGCCAAGTCTCCAATATGGAAGGCAGACATCTTAACCACTACCATGCTCACCCATTTATAATTCTGGAGTAAGCATGCATATTCTATAACCAATCTAAAATTCTAAGCAGGGTAACTCCTGGGTAACTTTTGGGGAACCCTGAATGTAGTGTTCACTAAAATCTAAACTGAAAGTCACCATAATGATAAAAAAAAATCTAGAATAAGGATGAATACCATTTGAATTTGACATAGTTTGAGAATAGTTCAATCTTAGAGTTACCGATATTTACACTGACGTGGTAAGATTGTACCATTAAGAATGCAAACTACCGCTATGTTTAGACTATTAGGAGATGCAGAGTCATTTAAGATTGTGTCAAGTGAGGTCAAAACACCATATCCATGCAGTGAGCAGTACAAAGTCTTTAATTATATATGCTAATCTATAATACATCCAACAACAGTATGAGGGAAATGTTTTCATTTATTAAAATCACAGGCAGCTGACAGTGCTTAACGGTAACTACAAGAAAAAGAGTACACAAGGAAAGTTTGAAAAATGAAATCAGGTATTTAATTATGTACAGAACATAGTATGACCAGTATAGCATGAATGATAAATATCTGACAAAATGACTGGAGATTGGGATTTTCGCATAGCTTTCAATCCAATTCTCCCTGTTAGTCTTCACACGTGTATGAGTAGCAGCAATACTAATAGTTTTCCCTAATACTACAGAATTACCACTACCACCATGTACATATGTATCACAAAAACAAAATT